TTTTACAGTTTATACTTATACTTGAGAAGTTGAGCGGTCCACACGTCAACAAGGGCAACTCTCATAAGCTCCCATTGTTAGCTAACCAGCCTCGTGCGCTTACTTGTAACAACGATAGGATTCGAGCAATTGCTTATGAACTAAAACCACTATTTGAATTGTTATACAATATTTTTTTTTTAATCTCATATATTAAGACTATTGGCAAATCAATAGAATCCACGGTTTGCCTGTAATAACATTTAAAATGCATACATGATACTCTTTGTAAGTCGCAGGTGCATCTTGTAATGCTATAAATAGATTTTGAATTTGTTGATTTATTTATTTATTTATTTAGTTTCCATATAATTACAAGCTGTCTGGAATGGCAATCAGTAATTTGGAGACTAATGTGTAAGATAATATTTAAAATTTTTACCCAGTGGTAATCGAAGTGTTCTGCAGATGTTTGAGGAAAGCAAGTTTTTGCAAGTTGATTTGCATGGTTTTCCAGCGTTGCCTTGTACTTGGTTGCATCTCATCGCATCAGCCAATTTTGGACTACCAAATACGTAGGTAATCGGCACCCGATACTTGGGAACTTTTATATTTTTTTAAGAATTTTATTGTGTGACCTTGGAAATAGAAGGAGCACATATTGCCATCTTATATTAATGTTATTGTTAGCGGTGCATTGTGGACCAATGACTAGTGTCCACTATGCACCGCTATCAATAACATAACCCTCCGTCGGGCGCAGTCCCGTTACGCACACGTTCGGGCGCAGTGTATCCGACAGCAACGGTTTTTAAGTATATCCTCAGGAGGCTCCTTATTTTATAAACATGTTAATTTTTTGTTTAATTATATTTCAGAATGTATACTTTTTGAATAAATAGAAAAAAAAAGAATTCAATAATATTTTATTATAAAATGTAGAAAAATATAAACCTGTGTATATATGCACAAATTATTTACACTCACTTTTCTTTATTGAAATACACAGTCTCTAACTTTTTTTTCATTTGTCACTTTATAAAAAATAAGTAATATAATAATGATAGTTCAATGTGTATAGTTAATATTATCATTTATTGAAGCATTTCAACAAGCACTGCATAGAAAGATCGCATGTTGGAAACACAGTGCTTTTCGACATTTAGCACAACAAAATCTTGAAAGCCGTCTAATATTAGCTTCTAATGTACACGGTTCACATCGTCGTTTTTTTCGGTGCTCTTCTTGTTTTTGTGAGCCATTTTCCTGTGAATTTGGTCTGAATCTTTTGAGTCCTGTCTGCAAAGTGAACAGTATCCCACTCGTGATTTCACTTCTTCTTGTTAGCTGTCCAAGAACAAGTTCATGCGATAATTGTCTCAAAAATATCTTCTTCGGAGATCTTTCTTACCATTCCCATGACTCCAACATTCTATAGGCGTTGCAGCATTTTTTGCGTTTCCTATAACACCTGGTAAATGTCTTAATAAGTTCTGGGATTTTGTTCGAGTCCTATTAGAGGGAGGTTTGCTACACCATTTTGTAGATTTATCTCTACTCATAAAATATTTAGCATTATTGTTTAAATTTATTTCTTCCTCACTCTCATCCTGTTCGTCCTCTTGTTCTGTCTCAGAATCGACTTCGCGACCTCTAGATGGTCTTCGTCACTTCCACTTTCATCACCTAAATCGTCAAGAAGATTATTTTCATCAGCATCATCATTCAGCATTCTTAGAATCTCTTCTGAATGAGCTGGCTTTTCTAAATTATATATTTTTTTACCACTCGCCATATTTACTAGCCTATAAAAATGTAGGACTCAAGTTAGTAACACATTCGGGCGCAGTGAATCTCGTAGATACTTTCAAAAAATTGCAATTAAATGAAAAGTATTGAGATATATATTCAAAAATACGTAAAAAATACAGAAAAAGAATACTTACATTCACACAAAAAATTGCAATATTCTTACGTTTCAAAATGTTGCACGTTCGGGCGCAGTGTATCTCTAGGATCAAAATACCGATTGCCACTATATGTGAAGGTCAAACACAAAATGATAAAGACGCATAAATAAAACATATAAAATTAGGAGGCTATTGAAGAGTGGAGGTTTCTATAACATTCAACCAAGGCGCAGCATGAAAATTTATTGGCTCTGTCTGTCAGATCGGCTGCGCCCGACGAAGGGTTAAATATAGGAGGGCAATATGTGCTCCTTCTATTTTTCGTTGGTAATATAATAGCATTTTATTATTTTACACAAATTTAGTGTTCAATCAATATTACATCATAATTAATTTTTCTGTTGTTTTTCCTGGTTTAATTACTGAATCATGACACACATCAAGTGTCGAAACGCTTAATGAAATAAATAATTTTGTTATTTAACCTTTTTTAATTCGACGGTTGAGCTGCAAAAATATTACAAATTATATATATATATATATATATATATATTATAATACGTTACAAATTGTAATAGATTGTGTACGAGTATAATTTTTTCAGTAAAATTCGGAAAGTATTTATGAAATTATTGTTCAAAATATTAAACACAAACAGTGTTATATAAATTATATACGAATAGAAATATATATCAAAAATAATATATAACAACTTTATTCAAATCAAATAAAAAACTGTTATATACAGAAAAAATCATTTATTCAACTGCATATCATAACTGAATAGAAATATTGATACGTGCCAAATATTTTCATATGAGGATTATCGACGAAAGCTTCTCATGTGACCCAAATGCATTCAAAAATACTGCTATGAATATCTAAATCTGTTAAATAGATAATACACTAAGTCCTTTACATTGTAACAATTTTGAAAGATATAAGGGATCATCATAGAATTAATGCTGAGTTAATAAAGAATCAGTATTTTATTTTAATTTATTAAAAACTATAAACTGAGATATCTAAAAAACGTAAACAAATAATGAATCTACATTACTGTTGCGCAATTTAATTTCACTATTTTTCAGAGGTAAATATTATATACTCAACTACAGAAGATCAGAAGTTTTTAAAAATCTAAACTAGTGGGGTGTATGGCATCATGCCTTGAGGCAAATTGCTGGAACTTCCCGTACGGAAATGTTCGAGGAATACTGAGTGTTTTCAAATAGATTATTATTAATATTGTAACATTGTCTAATATTTATAAGAATTATATAAACTGAATTGCAAAATTGAAATTATTTGTTTAAAGTATATTAGAACTATAGTCAGAATTAAAAATAAAATCTGAATTATTTTCGATATACAAAAAAAATAAAAAAAAACGATACAATGTTTTTTCCAAAATCAATTATTTTGTTTTTGTTAAAACAAGCTGAAACTTCTTTGAATCATTTAAATTGGACGCTTAGTTCTCTTAAAAACTGCCATTTATTGCACAGTTAGCTCTGTATCTTCGAAATGGCTGGGCCTGCCATTGCCAAAAACTAATCAGCTCTTTCTCCCTATCAATAGAAATCGAATGTTTTTTGAACCATTCAAATCGGTTGATCCGTGCGCCCGAAAACGTGACTGGAAATTTGTATCCATACATACACACACACACACATCCATTTTTTCTGAGGTATGCCAAATGTTCAGAAACCTTCAAAACGTCGAGAAATTTAAAAATTTTCAATTTCGATTTTCGGCCCATTACAATAACTTACCCTACGGGAAGTTAATAAATCTTGATGCAAAATTTGCCGCTTATGATTCTCTACAACACCATTATCTAAGGATAGAATTTCAATAGCAGTAATTAGTCTTTTATTAAGAAATCTAATAGTCTTCTAATAGCCGTAACGACTCATTTAACTTGGAAACATATTTATTTAGTTTGGAGTAAAAATGCATATCGCTACTGCAAAGCTGATCGGACATAACAAGATTATTATGTTTTATAATGTAATATAAACATATTTATCCAGTAATTTTTGTTACTCCACATGCTAATTTCGTTTACCCACTTAAATCATTTATATTAATTAAAGAATCTATTCATGCCTATATTTCACAGTCAAGAAAACATTATTCCCCCAACAGAACTGTATTTCAACATCATTTTTTCCTGTCCCCATTGGGTACATCTATATATGCACTCACGACTCGGGCGCCCTTGCAATCTGTTACATTCAGTGGCCGTAGTAGCACGTGTGTGTTACTTCCGCTTTACTTGTGTTCCGGTAGGCCAAAGGGCAGCGCGCCGTGTGTTTGTCACGGAACTAGACATCGGGAAATAGATCCGGGGAAGGACGGGCAAGGACGTCATATGTGAAGAAGTATGTAAACTGTTTCAATGGTATGGATAACTGCCAAAAATTATAGAAAATCCTTTTTCAAGTTTGTAGTTAATTTGATTATTATTAGGGATTGCAATACCGGTATACCGGTATACCGAATTACCGGTAAAACCGCCCAGTTTTTCGGCGGTAATTTTACTGGTATTTACCCAAAAATACAGTATTTTCGGTATTTTTACATAAGCGCTATTTGGTACAAAATACACTAAAGTTTAAATTTCTCGGAACAAATGTATCTTTAAATTCCATGATCGCATAAACAGCTATATCTTCAAGTGATTCTATAGGATAAACAATTGTCAAATATTATCTTAACTCGTCATTAACCTGAATATTTATTGCTTTACTAAGGGCTTCATAACGTGTTACAATAAATAGAATTGGACTGATAGATAGATGTTTGTTTCCTCTTATGTAAAAATGTAACAGTTTTTTAAGTAATATTTGCGTCAAAATATTTTATATCATAAAGATTACCTCTGCGTAATCTTTATTTTTTTCTAACTTTATACATAATAATTATGATAATTACTAAATATTTTTGCTTCTTATTACAATTATAAAATATTATTTTTCGAAAACGTTTCGAAGTTTGAAAATACTATAGAAGCATCACAATGTGATAAATAATAATACTCAATTATAGTAACTTATTATTTATCTTGACAAAGTATCCGATCTTAAATTAGTGTAACAATTTTTTTTTTAAATATTGGAGATTATGCTAATTTAACACATCGGATACAGATAATACAGTTTATTATAATAATGTAATATGATCTTTTATGAGTTTTTGGTCTTTCTTACTCATAAGTTTGTTTTTGGTGAAAAGTACTCAATATAGTGATAATGAATTAATTAAATTGGATACAATTTTGTTAAATTATTAGTTAAAGAAATAAACTTATCGTTTTATTTTATTGTTTTTATTGTTTAGTTGAATATAGTTTTAATTGTATATACATTTTTTTATATTTGTACTAGTAACTTTCAATTTTGTTTACGTTTGTATAAGATAATTAAAATACCGGTAATTTACCGGTATTCCGGTTTTAAAATGAAAAATTACCGAAATACCGGTATTGAAATTTTCCATCGGTATT